TTATGTAGATTTCGAGCCTCAGCTCACAATCTTGCAATTGAAACAGCGAGAATAGATGGCAATCAGAGAGACGCTAGATTTTGTAAATTACGCCTAAAAGTGTTATTGTAGTTGAAGATGTGTTTATTTTACCCTGTTACGAACCACTTAGAGGTCTTTACATTTCTGTGTTCTACAGTAATCCATCATTAAGATGGAAATTGCATGTTTTAATGGCCTGAAAAATGCAACTGTTCAAATACATCTTATCAAGTTTGAATTTCATGCATTTAATGTCAGGAAAACTTTATTGGAGTAATGAAATAACTCTCTATCATCAAGTATTTGTTTTGTATTTTTTGTACATACGGCCGGTTGTCATAGTACTGAATAAATTAATATAATTTAGTAATGCTAAGTACATGTCAAAACTCAACAGTCTGTTAATTATGGGACTGGATTAGTCAAACACTTTTTCAAAGACACTTACTTCTGATTTTACTTTCAGAATGTCGTGTCTGCTGGACACGCAGCAAAGGACGAATTTGGTTGATCGTAACAACGTGCCTTTATCTGCTTAATTTCCTCCAGAAGATCTTTTATTCGTGGGGGAACAAAGATGAGTCTCTTTACCTGATATCTTACTTGACGTTCTTCGGTCCGATAGTCGCCACAGCTGCATCCCGCTTGGTCGCTCATATGTTATCCTGTCCACCACGTGGGAATCGAGCAATATATGCCATAACGGATGCTAACATTATAAGTATACTGACACGTTCTGAAAACTGCAAAGTCCTGAGCACAGGATTTGGGTATTTTTACCAAACATGGGCTTTGGCATGTTTTATTTTGTACGTATCTGGATCAGCGTATCAACTTATTTTACATTGCCACGAAGGGGTGTATGTATGGGGAATGGTTGCATTTTTCTGTAATACTAGTGGTATTTTCATGTTTACTTCCTTTTGGTATATGATACTTCTCCTTCGCCGTGCCCTCCAATGTGACTTAAAGCTAGTATGTCGTTTTCTAAAACAGCATAATTCAAATAACAAAATGTGCCGTGAAAGGATAATGGAGAGTTATTTAGAGTACTCCCGTCTTGAATATTTGGTTTCGGGGTGGATCTTCTTTTATATAGCAGTCAATGTATTTAAACTGTCCAGCCACATACACTGGAATTATCATGTATACTCTCAGAACACACACGTTGTGTCGGCGACATTTATCAACGTGGTCATATCTACCGAAATTGCCATGTACATCATTCTTCCTCTTATTGCCGCAGGTGGCATAAACATCCATTATATTTGGAAAGATTTTCTAGCTGATGTAGAATATTGCCAGGCTGGGCAGGATTACTGGTTTTGTGTTCGTATGATAAAGCATTTAAAACCAATCATTAGCAATGTGAATCCATAATGATATTCTCAGCTTTAGGGATTTTCGTGAGTTTGAATTTTCAGAATCAATACGGAGGTTATTGGTTATATGATTCTGTGTGTTACTATGGCAACCTTACTGTGAATATGTCAACATAATAGAATTAGAAAATGTAGAAAACATCGCATTTTTGTTTTGTGATTGTATTTTTTGAAAGATCTTGGAAACTGCTATGTGAATAGTTTGCTCAATGCTTTACAAGGCCATAAACTTGGGGATAATTTACGTTTTATAATGACTAAGGAATTAAGAAAAACTTACCCGAACTGTTCACATGTTGCTAACAATTACAAAATGTATTGATAAATATTAATATTTAGGTACTAGGATAATTAGATTGAAACACATCAAATTGTTTGCGCAGTTTGCAAATCATTATCACATGAAAATGGTGCATTGCGTTCACATTTTAGTGAAAAATGTCAATATGGTCATTATGTTGTGCGTGTTTGGTGTTCCAAATACCAATAGTATTTGTCCAACTTGATATTTTTATTATGTATAATATTGCTAGGAAAGAAAGTAATTCTGGGAATATTGCCTCTTTTTAAAGTTCATCCAAGATATATACTTTTACTAACTTTTCGTAATACATATATATCGATAACTACCCACTATGGAAGCGTACTAAGTACTCGAGCATAAATTTCGGTATTTTGTTGATATTTTTTTAACAGACTTTAACTAGTACATAGTTATTTGAAGCAGATATTAAGAGGTTGTCATGACAACCAACGCACAGAGTAGGTCGATGCACTCACGTACTGCCTAAATGCATGCAGGATATTCTCGATATATAACCATACTATTTCTTGTTTGTGTTAATACGTTTATGAAAAACAGCGTTTTGTGTTGTGGGATTCGGTTCATTGCATTAACGATCCTAGGCAACCGTGTAACTTTGAGAGTACGTAGGCTGCTAAATTTTCTTATTTGGCTAGAAGGGGCTAGAAATCGAGTTGCACCGTGTCGCCTTGTGTCGATCTATTCACCATTCTTATTAATTCACTTTATTTTATCATTCAACTACTTTCTATTTTTTACATACCTTTTTTTTGCCTTTTCAATTTGTGTACTTCTTTTGAGATTGTATGTTTCGATTGGTGGAGTTTCATTAATAAACTTCTGTTTTTTTCCCGCCAAAAAGTATATTTCTATTCTTACTAATGGTGGAGTGGTACATATAATTAGGGACACACTATACTGTTTGTTGACCCCACACCACGCGTAAACCATAAGTTTGCGTCCCTTTGAATGGACAGGTTGGGCTCCATGTAAACAATATAATTCTTAGAAATTTGTTCTTTTGTCTTTGCCATTAAGTTAGATTTCGTCAACACTCTAAAATTATGAAAACTAATATGATATATGGTTAGATATCCCAAAGAAGTTTCGACTCAGTCAGTCTAGCTACCTCAAACACTTCAGACCAAAACGATATCGACGCGCTTGTTGTCGCGCCGTGCATGTGCGACATTGGTGTTGGTAAACTTTGATTTTCCCACAATCCAATACGTAGGAATATTTAGCTGAATGCAACGTGCACTAATCTCACATCTCACGCATGCGTGGCGCTACGATCATCGCCCTTTAAATATACTAGTATTCGGAACGTAATTTTAAATTAGTGGACTACATAACCGGGTGGTTGGACAACTGGGCCGACCCCGTCTCAGACTAGTAATCGAAAAGTGTGAGTTCACAGCCGCGAATGCCTGGGTGGGTGATTCGATATAACTCCAATTTGGGTGGGTGGTGGACTCAATGTGGCTCTCAAATGGCCCACCCACCCGGCGTAACAAGAGTCATGCGCCATTCTATAGTAACTGTTACCTGGGAAAAGTGCAGTCAACAACGGAACGAGGTAACTTAAAAAGTGTTCTTTTCATAACAAAATAAATTTTACAAATCTAGAATTTTAACTAAAGAAAGGAAATTGAAAGCTGTCCATTATCCCCCTCCGGTTAGAGAATACTTAACTCCCCTCTAGATGTTTTTTTTTTTTTTTTTTACAGTTCCCCACATCTTTTGGGAGATCTGGTCCACTCCAATATCTTTCGGATATCCAATATCAGTTTTCCCCTGTCCTGCGAAAACATTCCTGTAAATTTTCTCCTTTTCTTCGAAATTTGTTTCTGCCTTCCCAGACGTGTTTCATAACAAATGTAGGATAGACATAGTCCACTCTCTAAAGTTTTACAATTAAAAAGAATCTCAAAACTTTTCCTTACCCTCAAGAAATTGTAACTTCTGAATGCATAGAACACGGCGCAATAAGGAACTCTGGTCAGATGAAGTGCGCCCTCGTCCATAAATGTGTTTTTTATTTTTCGTTCAGCTGTTCTGATGTTTTTTTTTTTTGTATTTATAAACTTTTATTGGAGTTTGCACTGAAATTAACATCTTACATACCTGGTTTGTACATTACAAATTGCAATTAATCTACATATTGTGAAGTGGATTGGGTAACATTTTTCATAAAATATCCCCATTTCTTGTTATGAGAAGTCAACTTATTCCGTCGGACAGCAATGAAGTACTCTATCTCCAGGAAATATTTTACATATCATTTGTATGCCATGAATTCTGGCTTTTGATTTTTATGTCTACACAAGTAAATATATTTTTTTGCTACCAGAAAGAGGAAGTTGACTAAACATGTAAAGTTTTCATCCCCCAAAAAGGATTTGTTGTGCATTCGGGAATGCCCTCAGGCCAAGCTTACCCCCCCCCCCCAAAGCATATACAGTGTTTCCCAAAAATCTTGGGTGCATTGACAGCTGTTCTGATGTTGATATAGAACCGTTTCCCGGGGGACTAACAGGTAGGTGCTGCATGTCATTACGATCACAGGAAGCTCGACACTTTATGATCAGGATTTAACGTAACTGATTGCAAAATGGATTATAGTGGTTTTTTTTATTTAATGTGAAATATTTGTTTTCGATGATTTTGCAACGTAATAAATAAAGAGACATGTGGTTTACCTCCGACTACCATAGGGTTAGGTCGGATTCCCCAGGTCCGTACCAGTTCTTTATATAGTAGTCTGAGGTTTTGCCAAGCGGGTATTATTTCATCACGGTGTCTGCTTTTAAATCACAGTTTTTGGAATTTTGCCAAAACACAACACAAATAATGTAAAAGGGTTCACTAATTTACCGATAGAGGCGCTGTTCACGCCCTCGTTCGTATTGCATAGGTACTCAACAATCGTTATGTCTGCGTAGATTGGCCCGGGTTAGGATGATTAGTTTTTATTGTACTAAAACAAGCAAAAATATTTGCGTTGTACTTTAATTTATATTATCTAGTTGTAGCGCCTAAAATATTCAATACATGTCATATATTCATACAACAATATTATACTTAAATCTGATCCAATGTTACCATAATCACAGTTCCTCTATAGGCTATAGAGGGGCCACTGTGCCATAATGGATGATGTCCATCGCCAACACATCAGTTGCCGAAAGAGGGCGTGGTTTGCGACGATGCGCCAACACTGCCACCAGCCGAATGTGTTAAGGAGTGACACCCCCTAACAAACAGCTGTTGACTGTGTTGAAAAAGAGTATGTATGGACGTTTTACGCTGAAACACGTAAACTATTTTTTATCCGTAGATTCTCAATGGTGCAGAGAACGACTGTTGTTTTTGGAATCTGTGTGTTGAGTTGTGTATGTGGAGCGCTTATGCTGTGGATTTTCTCATCCCATGCAGGTTTTCCAGTAGATTCGACATTATCTGAAGGTCTGAGTCGACGAGAACACGGCGAACTAGTTGACGATAAACCCGTCGATCATCTCGAACCTCATCACGTTGTTTTTCCTAAAAACAAGCCTGCTCATACCCAGATACACAGGTATTGCTTTGTCAAGTCTGTCATTTCTTACAAATTCATCGTGTCAACCAAAAGAATGGAAAGTTTTCTACATTCATAGTTCGGGTTGACCGTTAGAAATGGAGGTGGGGTGGAAACAATAATCTGCACAGAAATTTTTAAAAAAAATGTCTACAGGGAAAAAGTTGCAGGAAAAATTGTGTATATTTAAAAGAGAAACGCCAAAAAAAAAAATCATCATGAAAACTCAAAGCACAGAAAAAATAATTTGCACAATAGTTCTTACTAAACCCCCCCCCCCCACCACAGGTTTTCTAATATCAACTACCCTAGAAACTAGAAAATGTATGCACTGAGAAATGTTGTGATTTCATCTCAGAAAACACCGTGAATTTGATTTATTTGAATACAAAATGGTGAAATTAAAAGGAATATTTTTCAAATTTTCCCATTTTACTGAGAAACTCTTCTCTTCAATAAAATTTTTCATAAATAAGACTTTAATACATTGCCTGCTGAAAGCCTCCATGAATAGTAGATAAGAGAGAACACCAATTAATTACTCAATTTAGATGGTGAGTCATGAGCGTTTGACACAAACATAATTATTTACGTAGAGTAAATGAAGAGTAAGACATATTTATGATAGAAGAAACCAAAATGATAATTTAACTTTAAGTCACATCTATATGTAACCCAAAACGAGCATATACTGACATAAGTAGGTGGGGAGACCCTAACCCTGACTTGGTTATATCCCCCTCCCCTCCCCTCCCCTCCCCCAATATGGTAGGTATCCTGTATGTGTGATTGATTTTAATTTGGGAGGTGTGGAAACAATAAATCTAGGCGAGATAGTATATGCCCCCCCCCCCCAATATGCCAGTTTATATTCAGTATCGGTACATGCATTTGATTTCAGTTGGATGGCGAGTTTCTACCCACCCCCCAATGAATTTTGATGAGTCTGATTATATTTATTAAAAACTTTTAATACTAGTATTTCTATCGATATTACAGAGACGCAATGAGCTCTCCACTGATTAAGTCTTTTTCCTGGGGGAAAATGGATGTTGAGGACACCACGTATAAAGACTGCAAAGTATGGCCTGGTGGAAGCGAGACCTGGGACTGGGGTAAAACCGGCACTCACCACAGCCCTGGTGTACAGGTTACAGACCTCAAAGATATCCTTGAAAAGGGTGTTGATGTTCTGGTGATTGGCAATGGAGTGAACCAGGCGCTTGGAGTACCGCAAGCAACCTTGAACTACGTTAAAGATAAGCATGTAGAGGCTGTGGTTTTACAGACTGAGAAAGCTGTACAGAAATACAATAGTTTGGTGAAAGGTGGTAGCAAGAAAGTGGGTGGAATATTTCATAGTACTTGCTAAAAGAATACTTAATTGAGTTGCTGGGTGAAGGAAGCGAGGTGACAATAATATTGGCATTTATTCATAAAACAAATCTGTATATTACAGCAAACTACTGTATTATGTTTTGCTTTTGTTTGCTAGAAAATAAACAGATCATTAGTTGAGTAGGTTTTACAAAAAGACAAGTCATTGAAAATGACACAGTCCCCGTTAAATTTTTGAAAGTTCTCTTTGTGCTCGTCATATTAAAGCGGAGAGGTTGTCGCCAGCGTGTCCTTGAAACTTGAGTTTCAAGTGGCGTATACAACAGATTGTTTATTTACATCAAAATACGTGTTCCGTGTAATAGTAATAGGGCCAAAAATAAAAACAGCCGTTATTCCGCCATCTTTGATCTGATTATGAAACACACTGATATGTATGATGTATGTGCCAAATACAAATGAAAATGGTACATAAATTATGGAAATATAGAAGGCCAAAAAGTCAGATGGCCGTCAATCGGCCATCCTTGACAAGATTTTGAAACAAATTGTCATGGACATGCATCCTAACATGTACAAAGCACATGTATGTGCCAAATGACAGAGCATGTCCAAGATACTGCATAAAAAAACAAAAACAAGATGCCTGCCAGTCGACCACCTTTGATCCAATTGCGAAATAAATTGTCATGGACATGTATCCTAACATGTATAATCTTTGTACCAAGTTTGAATGACAACTGACAAAGCATGTCCAAAATATTTTCAAAAAACAAGATGGCTGCCAGTCGGCCATTTTGAATCGAATCACTAAACCACTGCATGTGCATACATGTATGTCCCACACTAGGCACATGCAAAGAATGAACGGAATCGGTCCACAGGATTCTGAAATATGACTCTGGACAGATTGACACAGGGACGGACGGACACGCGGACGAACGGATACAGGAACTCACGGACGGTCGGGGACATGTATTCTAACATGTATGATCTATGTACAAAATTTTAATGAAAACTGACAAAGCATGTCCAAAATACAACATTTTCAAAAAACAGGATGGCTGCCAGTTGGCCATCTTTGATTCAATTGTGAAATAAATCGTCATGGACATGTATCCTAACATGTATAATCTATGTACCAAGAATGAACGGAATCAGTCCAAGGGATTCTGAGATATGACTCTGGACGGACACACGGAGACCAAATTATAAGTCCCCGTTTTCGGACTTCGTCCGAACGGGGACTAAAAAAAGAGGGAGAGAGACTGACAAAGTAAAAAGTAATCTACCAGTACACAAAGCAAATACGTCAATGCAATAATTCCTTGCCAGAGTGGGAACCAGAATTGTAATTGCATATTATAGAGTATGACATGGTAGGTGTGTGTACAATTTTTTTGCAATCCAAGCAGTCGCTGGGTTGGTGTGGCTTGTTAGCTGGTGTATATATCTGGTAGCGTCACTTATGCTTTGAATACAAACAACGTTCAGCACCACAATGTCGTTTGATTGACAAATCTCATTGATGGATTTGAACATCATTTGCATAAAAAACAAATTGTACAATATGCCAATAACTTTTAACGAGCAATACACTGGCACAGACATGGCAGATAATATAAAACATTGTGTCATTAACATGGAAAGT